CTCAGAATTTATTGCAGACTTTCCCCAGAAGAATTAAAGAGGAAAATGGAAGTGCAGGTGCATGGGAAGATGGTGGAGACAAATGTGATTGGAAAGACTGACGTGGAGACCTTCTCTCAGTAAGAATTGAAGAGGAAAATGAAAGTGCAGGTGCATGGGAAGATGGTGGAGACATGATTGGAAAGATTGATGTGAAGACTTAAACTGATCTGGCTTATTGTGTCCAGGGGGGTTGTACAAGGGGGTTAGACAAAATGTACAGGGGGGCTGTACAAGGGGGTTAGACAAAATGTACAGGGGGGTAATGCTTAAGTGATAGTTCGTTAAACGAGCTCAGCAGATGTCTTATCAGGCAGTACCAGAAGAGAACCTCCTAATGAGGAGAATGGGGGGGTTGTACAAGGAGTACTGCTTAAGTCGTAGCTGGCTTGACAAGCTCAGCAGGTGCCTTATCAGGCAGTACTAAGATAAAGCTTCCTAACGAAGGGAATAGCTCATTAAACCAGCTAGACATAGACCAGACCCATCTAGCTCCTAAAGAGCATGCGTGAGGACCAGAGGTAAAAAGTTCAAGCCTGAGGAAGACTCGTTTACTTCATCTTGAAGACCCCTACCCACAAGAGGAAGACTACTTACTTCATCTGAAGACCCCTGCCCAAGACCAGCAGGAGGCACTGCGCATGCGTGGAGAGCCTTTTAGCTCATTATAATACAAAGGGGGGATAGAATATGAATATGTATGACTTTACAGGATAAATGTAGAAGAAAAACGGCGCTAAGGGACGCATGCTTTTTGGAGGACCTATCCCCCGTGCGTCTTCAGCTGAATAAAGCATACCTACTGATAGCGGAATAGACTCCACAACCTCATTAAAGTTGTAAAGTAGGTAGTAACCTGGGGGTAGTGCCTTAGGGGTGGTAACATCATATGGGAGTGAAGGAGAAGATCCAAGACAATATGAGGTAACATTATGATACCAATCTTTCCTACTAGTCACTTTAGTTTCTGGAGTTCCATCTGACCAAGAACTGAATGTTATACAGCTCCGATTACTTTGGTCAGACCCCAGAAGTCGGAGTTCCTGAATTGGGATGGTTGAACGATTTAGTCCTTTTATAATTCCTCCTGTCTGAACAGATGCAACTGTCCAATCGCCTGAGGTTCTCTTAACTACTCTGGTTACTATTGTAAGGTTCAAGACTGAATCATTTCTCACCCATCCATAGAAATCATCTGGATTTAAATAAGGAACTCCAATTAAACACGTTTGGAATGGGTTTTGTACTTGTGTGAGCGATAAACAAAAATCAGTAACACCAGTTCTATTTGCCCAAGTAAGCCAAACATTTGTCTCTGTTCCTAATAGTGGTAACATTTTGTTAAGACTTTGTGTGACCCCTAGAATCACAGTTAATCCTGTAATTATTTTCATCATTCTTCGACCTCTCGCTGGTTATAATTGCAAACAAGAGAAAAGTATTAAAGCTTTCAACAAGAAGGTTAAAAATATCATCAACACAGTCTTATCAATTTGCAGTGTTACTTGTTACGAATTAGCTTTAGTTTCAGTTCATTTTCAGTTTGGATTGCTCTCCAGAATGTCTTCGGGGCTTTCTTAACTCAAGTATGATGAATCCAGGCGTTCTGTTCCTTAATCTTGATAGCTGTGAGTGTAGTTAACAACACCTGGAATGGCCCTCTCCATCTTGGCTCGAGATCATCATCTCCTGTAGGTTTGAAAGACTTTACATACACATAATCTCCAGGCTGTATATTGTGTACCGAGCTGTCCAACCCTCTGCTTCGAGTTCCAGCCACATGTTTTTCAATTCTAGTAAGCTGCTTTCCTAACTCTATTATATAAGGTGTTCATGGTTTCTTCTCCCACTTGGGGAGACATTCCCTGTTGAACCCCATATGGCCTTCCATATAAAATTTCGAAAGGACTCAGTCCTTCTCGTGCTCTTGGTTTAGTTCGAATTCTCAACAAGGCCAATGGAAGGGACTGGGGCCAAGGTAGCCTGGCCTCCTGGCCCAATTTCACAATTTGTTGTTTGATTAAATGATTCATCTTTTCCACTTGTCCACTTGATTGTGGATGATAAGGGATATGAAGTTGCCAATCAATTCCAAGATATTTGCTTACTTGCTGTACCACATTTGAAATAAAATGTGGCCCTCTGTCTGAAGATATTATGTCTGGAACTCCAAAGCATGGTATTATCTCCTGTAACAATATTTTGGTCACTTCTCGTGCCTTTGCACTCCTAGTTGGAAAGGCTTCTGGCCAACCTGAAAAGGTTTCTGTTAATACTAACAAGTATCTATACCCCCCTTTTCTTGGCAGTTCCGTGAAATTGATCTGCCATTGCTGTCCTGGCCCATTACCCTTTCCAATTTGACCCATTTTGAGCTTGGGTATAATTTTGGGATTTGTCCTAAAGCAAAGATCACACTGGCGAGTTACCTGTTGAATGGTGGCATATAATTTTCTAGCCATAATCTTGCCTATTAAATGTTTATGTAAGGTTTCGGCTCCCCAGTGTGTTTTCTGATGTTCATTCTTTACTAAAGACCACAACATTGGTAAGGGAACAATTACCCTTCCTTGTGGTGTGCTGGCCCACCCTTCTTCATTGAATATTCCGTTTTGATCTGCAATCAATTTTTGATCTTCCTTATTATAATTTGGCTTACCTTCTAAGGAAACTTTCCCATCAGGGATCAATGCTCCTTCAGTTGGTACCTCACCTTTTGCTGCTTCTTTTGCCTCTCTGTCCGCCAGCTCATTTCCTTCTTCCAATTCAGAGCTCACCTTCTGGTGTGCCTTGATGTGCATAATTGCCACCTTCTCAGGCAATTGGACTGCTTTTAATAGTCTCAGTACTTCCTGTGCATGTTTGATGTTTTTCCCTTGTGAATTTAACAGTCCTCTCTCCTTCCAAATAGCACCATGCGCATGTACGACTCCAAATGCATATTTTGAGTCTGTGTAAATGTTTACAGTTTTTCCTTCTGCCAATTCCAGGGCTCTAGTCAGAGCAATCAATTCTGCTTTCTGTGCAGAAGTTTATAGGCAAAGGTCCAGATTCTATTACCTCTCTGCAGGCGGTAACTGCATATCCAGCATATTGTTTTCCGCTGATGACATAGCTGCTCCCGTCAGTGAACCAGGTTTCTGAGTTATCCAAAGGGGTACCCCTCAAATCTGGACGACTAGAATATGCAGCCTCAATGGTTTCCAGGCAATCATGGTGTACAGGTTCTCCTTCATTACCACTGAGGAAAGAGGCTGGATTGATAATGTTAGTTACCACAATTTCAACATCATCCTGCTCTACCATGATGGCTTGATACTTCAGAAATCTCTGGGGAGAAAGCCAGTGTCCACCTTTCACTTCCAGTACTGCGGACACTGTATGAGATACTAGTACTGTCATTTTCTGGCCCAAGGTGAATTTGCGTGCTTCTTGAATGTTTAATACAACTGCTGCGATAGCTCTGAGACACCCAGGCCACCCCTTGGCCGCTGCGTCTAATTGCTTAGAGAGATAAGCAACTGCTCGTCGATATGGACCTAGATTTTGTGCCAGTATTCCCAAAGCAATCCCCTGTTTCTCATGAGAGAACAGAAAGAATGGTTTACTTGTGTCTGGGAGCCCTAAAGCAGGAGCTGACATGAGAGCACTCTTCAATTGGTGGAAAGCATGCGTGGCTTCTCGTGTCCATTGTAGGTTTCTGTTTCCATCAGTAATGAGGGCATATAGGGGCTTTGCAAGCAACCCATAGTTATAAATCCACAATCTGCACCATCCTGTCATACCCAGAGAAGTTCGTAGCTCTTTTATTGTTTGAGGCTTTGGGGTCTGACATATTGCTTCTTTGCGCTCCCGTCCCAGAGTTTGTTGTCCAGCGCTAATCTCATATCCTAGGTAGGTTACTTTCTGTTTTACTATTTGAGCCTTTTTCTTAGACACCCTATATCCCTGGAGTCCCAAGAAATTTAAAAGGCTTACCGTCCAAGCCACACAAGTTTCTTCTGTCCGGGTGGCAATTAGAATGTCGTCCACATACTGCAGTATTCTTCCTTCCTCCGGTGGGGCTTCCCATAATTCTAAGTCTTTGGCAAGTTGTTCTCCAAACAAAGTGGGACTATTTTTAAATCCTTGAGGCAGCACCGTCCATGTGAGCTGGGTTTTGCGCCCACTTCTGGGGTTTTCCCATTCAAATGCAAAAATTTTCTGACTGGCTTCATGGAGAGGGAGGCAAAAGAAGGCGTCCTTTAGATCTAAAACAGTAAACCAAGTTAGTTCTGGAATTAAGCAAGTCAGTAGCGTGTATGGATTTGCTACCACTGGGTAAAGATCCTCAATGATCTTGTTGACAGCTCTCAAGTCCTGTACCACCCGATATGATCCATCAGGCTTACAGACTGGTAAGATAGGGGTATTAAAATCAGATTGACATTCTTTTAATAATCCTAACTGTAAAAAGTTTTCAATTATTGGACAAATTCCCTCCCTATCTTCTTTTCTTAGAGGGTATTGTTTAATCCTAACTGGTTGTTTTCCCTCCTTGAGCTTAATCTGTATTGGGGGTGCATTTCTGGCTTTCCCGGGTATATTTGTAGCCCATACTCCCGGGAATACTTGATCTAATATATCTTCCCTAACCTTTCTTCTGTCTGGTGTGTGATCAGTTCTAAACTTAACATTTCTATGTATTGCTGATCATTTACTTTCAAGGTGATCTCACCTTCTTTGAAGGTAATAGTGGCCCCCAGTTGTTCCAACAAATCTCTCCCCAGGAGAGCCTTTGGGGCATTGAGCATATATAAAAATTTATGAATGCCCCATTGTTTTCCCAATTGAAATTTCAGTGGCTTACAAAAACATGCCTTTTCACTTTGGCCAGTTGCCCCTTTTACAGTAACATAGTCTCCTCCTACAGGTATTAATGCCTTATTCAGAACCGAATATGTTGCCCCGGTGTCTACTAAAAATTCCACTTCTTCCTTTTCTTCCCCTAGCTTTATTACAACCAGTGGATCCGCTAGGGAGGATTCCCCCGGTCCCTGTCAATCATCCATATGTGCCACTACCCGTTCTTTGGCTGTTTTGTGTCGGCGGTTTTTATTTCCCTCGTTTCTTGGACATTCATTTTTCCAGTGTCCAAATTGTCGACACAGGGCACATTGGTTTTTTTTCAACTGCGATTTCTGTCTCGGTCCTCTATTCCCCTCCTCTTCCACGACTGCTACTAATCTTCGCATCCCCAGTTTATAATCCTCTTCCCGATTACTGAACACCTTCCAAGCCTCATCCAGCAACACTTCTAAGTTTCTTCCCTCTGTTGGTCGTAACCTCTGTAACTTTCTCCTAATATCCCTAGCCGACTGACCCAGAAACAAAGACACGAGTTGTTGTATTCCTATTTCTGAGTTAGGATCTAATGGTGTGTGTCGGCGCATTGCATCTCTGAGGTGATCTAAGAACTCAGAAGGTGATTCTGAGGGACCCTGTTTTACGGCATATAATGCTGACCAGTTTATGCTCTTTGGAATAGCTCGTTCCACTCCTTTAACGATCCATTCCTGATATGCCTGTAACCTTTCTCGCTCCCCTGATCGGTTAGGGTCCCATTTAGGGTCCTGGAGCGGAAAGAATTCTTTAACATCCTGTTGTTTAATCTTATAATAGTCTTCAGCCAAGTCATTAGCTGTCTTTAAGATTAATTGTTTTTCAGTTTCCGTCATTGCCTCTAATAGCAGCTGCATATCATTCCAGTCTGGATTATGCTGTTTCACTAAAAACTGCAAATACTTTGTAACATTAACTGGATCAGTTCGATATTCTTTAGCTACCTTTCCCCAAGCTTCTAAGTCTGACGTTGTGAAGGGCACCTTTATTAACATGGTGTTCCCTTCTGGTCCCACTGCCTCTCGCAGGGGTGCCTGTAAAACTTGTTTATGTCGTGTCCGGGAGGAAATTGGGCTTTCCAAGGGAGTTTCTGAACTCTCTGACCCTGTGCTTTCCCGTCTCTTTGGTGGAGGCTTAAAGACATCTATTAATTCTTGCTCTGTATCTCGGTGTCGAACTTTTTCCTGTCTGGTACATCGCTGACCAATATCACAAGAGGAACAGCAGCGTTTGGGCTTAATTTGGCTGTCTCTTGTCTCTCTTTCCATGGCCAAAACAAGGGGATCCTGAGGAGGTATCATTCCACAGGCTCTTTGCCACTCCGGATGATTTCGGAGGGTGAAAAACATATCTGCATAGGATACTTCATCCCATTTCCCTTCTCTCCTCAGAAACAGCATCAGTTGCAACATAGTGTTATAATCCAGTGTCCCGTTAAGTGGCCACTTTGCTCTATCCTCTAACTTATAAAGGGGCCACCATTGATTGCAATATTTAATTAAGGTTCTTTTATTCTCCGTGCCCCCAGATCCTGCAATCTCCTTCCAATGCATCAAAATGCACCCTAAAGGGCTCTTTTTCAAAACTTCCTTGCTCTGACTTGCCCCCATTCCAAACAATCTTTTACAAGTTTTTTTTTTTTGTTTTTTTTTTTTTTATATCCTTTCTTTCCCAGTGCTCTGTAAATGCACTTAAGAGATATGAGAGCACTTGCACACAAACTTTATGATATTCCCAGGGGGTTCGGTAAAATAATATCTCTGGGTTATGCAGATCAATCCCCTTGTTATTAGGTTATAGTTTCAGTTTCAACCAAGTTTACACTAGTACCTACGGCAAGTTCCACTATTCAAAAGTTATTATGCACCCGCATGTGAGGCTACAAGTCTCTGGTACTGAGTGTAAAGTTCAGATCTCAAAAGTACGATTACAAACATTAAAGGTTATACTTCTGTCATACATCCACTGGAGTGCAGAGGGAACTTTCCTCAACCCCCCCCCCCAATAGCAACAATTTCCTCGTCTACTGCTTCCCCACCGCTTAAGCACTATAATTTTAACAATGACGCAGACACAACACAAAAGACACTTTATCCGTCTCCGGCCGGTCTCCTCGCGGAGGACACGGAACCGCGGATCGGGACACCGAGACAAGACACAAAACAAAGACACTTCGTCCGTCTCCGGCCGGTCTCCTCGCGGAGAACACGGAACCGCGGATCGGGACTCCGCACTCGCTTCGTAGCTACGCTACGTCTCAGTCACACACAAACCACTTGCACTCGGGATCCCCCACACTTACACCGGTACTCACCACCAGATGCCGCTTGCACCCTTCAGTGAAACCTGGAGCTCGATTCAGCCGCTCTATCGGCGGGCTCCCTTAGCCCGGAGCTCCTTTTGGATTCGTCCCATACAAACTGCTGCTCTATCAGCAGACGAATCCCTAGACTCACCCGACCCACCACCAGGGTCGCTAGCGGCCGCTCTATCGGTCGGTGAGTCCCCTGCTTGCAAGCCCTACCTACCAAGGGGAACAACGCTGTGCTCCAGACGTCTCTGAGCGCCTTACCAGCAGCCCCGGCCACGCGTACGCCTTACAGGCCTCTTACAAGTCCTAGGACAATTACAAACCTAAATTCCAAGCACACCGTTTCTCCGCAGCCGACACAGGTTGTTGTCTGTCCCCGCAGTGAGCGGACGAGGAGTGGAGCCCCTCCAGGCAAGTGGCCTGGGGCGCCTAGGAGGTCCGCCCCTCCGCCGATCCTGCAGCTGAACAGAGATCTCCTGCCTGGCTCGCCAAATTGATAGCGGAATAGACTCCACAACTTGGTTAAAGTTGTAAAGTAGGTATGCTTTATTCAGCTGAAGACGCACGGGGGATTGGTCCTCCAAAAGGCATGCGTGTCTTAGTGCCGTTTTTCTTCTACATTTATCCTGTAAAGTCATACATATTCATATTCTATCCCCGCTTCGTATTATAATGAGCTAAAAGGCTCTCCACACATGCGCAGTGCCTCCTGCTGGTCTTGGGCAGGGGTCTTCAGATGAAGTAAGTAGTCTTCCTCTTGTGGGTAGGGGTCTTCAAGATGAAGTAAACGAGTCTTCCTCAGGCTTGAACTTTTTACCTCTGGTCCTCACGCATGCTCTTTAGGAGCTAGATGGGTCTGGTCTATGTCTAGCTGGTTTAATGAGCTATTC